TTTATTTTTTGGAACATTTTAGGTGATCCTGGATCCCCTACACAAGTATTCTGATAGTGGGAGCTGTGAGAGGTGCTGGAACTGTGTCACTTAAAAAGATTGTGTGGTCCCTTCCTGAGAAGCTACTGTATGAGATTTCAGAGACTGGTGAAAATCTCAAGTAAGCAGTTAAAAACATACTTTGCCCAAGTTGTTCACTCCAGTATCTTTAGAAACTTAATTGGCTTTACAGGGAAGTAGCACTTGAGAACCCAAAGAATTCTTTGGCTTAATTAAAATACACCATTGTTGATTAGAGGAATGGGGATACAATGCTAGTTTCAGTCTGGGAAGCTATTGGTAAAGAAAAAGGAAGGGTGAAAAAACAATACAGTAAGAAAGTCATTGTTTAATTGAATCTTCTTTTGTTAAGATTTTAAAAAGCATATTCTTCTTCCCCAAAAAATATTCTAAGGGGCTATTTTCCATTCATTGCTTTTTCTTTTCTTAAGACCTTGGGATCAGGGCACAAGGAAAGTTTTTGCCATATCTTCTCTGTCTCATGTTTGCCAGACAAGATCTTGGCCAACTCAGGGATTTTCCATCTGTTGTTCCATTTGCCTAGAACAAGTTTCCATCAGAAATCTGCTTAGCTCACTTTCTACTTCCCTTTCGTCCTGACCTTACAGGGAGCTTCACCATGAGAATTTCTGTGCCTTGTCCATCTATAGTGTCCGCTCCACACCCATATTTTATAACCTCCCATATTATTTTTATTCATGTTTTATAATCTCCAAGTTTGAATTCTTCTTAATACTTATCATATATGTATCCCCCTTACTATTATCCATTATACTCACTTGGTTTTCTCTGTCTCTCCCAATAAGATGTTATCTCTATAAAGAAATATTTTTGTCTGTTTTGTTCATTGTTCTATTCCCAGAATCTGGACAAGTGCCTGCCACATAGTAATAATTTAATAAATATTTTTAGAATTAAAGAAAGAATCAATGAATATGTGGGTTAGAAGAGTAATAGTATTAGAATTTCACACTAGCCTACCATAGAAATTATTTTACTTTTTTCCCCCCAGCATTGGACATTGATAACTTGGGTGTCTTGCTTGTGCTTTGCTTCCTAAAACAAAAATTCTCATTTTGGACAAAGCAACAGCCTACACTGATTTTGAGACTGATAACTTGGTTCAGACCACAGTCAAGAGTTTTCTGTTTGCACCATCCTAATGATTGCTTGCAGATCATATTGTTATTGTTTCAGATGGATTATGTTTACATCCTTTTAAAAAACTAAACAATTCCTACAAAAGTAGACATTAGACACAAAATGATTAAATGCCACTAATAAAGTATTTTGCTTGTGCTCAGAAATACAGTATTTTTCTAATATTGTACAAAGTTCAAAAATAGAAGGGAAATTTTAATGGTAAACAAATATAAACTATCTCAAGTTAACTAGTACCTATATTTTGAACTGAAATCTTACATGGTAAGTTAAGCCTTACTTTTTTAAGATTAAGAAGGAGAGATTAAAAGAAGGTTAAAGGTTACTTAACTGTATTCTTTTTAAATCGCAGGGTGCTTAGTCTAGATTCTGGAAGAATTATAGAATTTGAAGCACCACAGAATTTGATATATCAGAAAGGAATAGTTTTTGGAATGACAACAGAAGCTAGAACATCAGAAGTCTTAGGGACAAAAAATGCTTTTATTTGTATGTTGATAAAACAATTACAGTATATTAGTATTTATAAAATGATAGGGAGAAATGCAGAAAGGTAAGACCCTGCCTATGAGTTGTCACAGTATTCCTAACCATCCTAGGCTATACTCAAGTCTTCTCACTTCCATTTGATGCTTTCAATGTGTTGCTCAAATGCCAAGTGTCCTTGAAGTTTGTCTGTAGTCACTTCCCTTCAGCTCCTTTTTCTGCCTTTACCTTTCCATGCTTTTCTACCTTTTCTATGCTCTTACTTGCTCCGTGTGCACAGCTGTGTGCAAGGACCATGTTCTATTTTAATTGTTTAAGTCCATATCCCTTTCCCCTAGAAAAAGCTACTTTAAGGCAAGTACCCATTTCAATCATCTTAGGTGATAGACTCCTAGCACAGAGCCTTGCACGTTGTCAATACTCAACAAATGTTTGTGGAATGATGAATAGAATGAATATGTTTATGTGTGTGTGCAATGAGCTAGTGTAGCTTATTTTGATGGAGGGATCACAGAAGCATAAGATACTGAGCTGAGTTTTGAAAAATGGAAAACAGTTTTGGTAATTTTATATTAACTGAATTTTGTGATGTTTCAATTTAAAATTGTTTTATATTTTTACCATTTGCTTTTGAGTGTTTTCTATGGAGCTATGGAATATCATTTTTTGTTGTATCAACCTCAGTATGAATCAGTTAGTACACATTTAAGATTACTGATCTGTAGCACTAATTATAGTTTGGAGAGATTTTCCATTTCATAGTTATATGTAGTAGAAGCAACAGTGTCTGAATTGCTCTTCAGATTTGAACTGCTGAAAGTTTAGTGGTATTTTCAAGATGATTTTAATAGATGATATTTACATATTCATTAAGGCCAATGAACCGATTTTTGTTTTCTCCTCTAATCCTGTACATAAAATCTTGCTTCATTTCCTACGTTTATGAAACTGCCGTAACTTTAAATTCCTATACTATGTAAAGTTCCCTCTTATTAAAAGGGTTCTAGGTATTTCATAAATACCAGTTAAAAGATATTTTATCTCTTAGTCCTTTTTTGCTGTTGTTACTATCAGAGTACCAGACTGGCTAAGTGATAATGAAATTGATTTGGGCCATGGTTTTGGAAGAAGGAATGTTTAAGACAGAAATGATCACCTCCAGTGGAGGCCTTTTTGTGTCACCTATCTTATTGTGGAAGGCAGAAGGGTTAGAAAGCATGAGAGGAGGGAGAGAAGGTTGGGGGAAGGAGGAAGAGAATATGGTATTAACCTATTCATGGGGGCAGACACCTCATGAGCTAAGGGCAAGTGGATTCTAAGAAAGTAATGAATCCAGGATAGAAGCCAGTCATTTTTAAATTTTCGAAGTGACCTTTCAGTACTTCTGCCATGTTGTTCATTAGCAGTGAATCATTAAGTCTCCTGAGGCAAGAGGGTTACCCAAAGGTCTATACCAGAATGTGGGCATTACTGGGAGTCATATTAGAGTCTGTCTACCTCAATGGGGCACTGTGCATTTGTTAAATTTGAAAGTGTTGTATATTTGTTAAACTGAAAAGTGTCAATATATTGCATTCTTCACCAATATAGTCACCAATGAGTCCTTCACCAAGTAGTTTAAATAACAAAAAGAAACCACAAGAAGTTGTGCTGCAGGAAATCAAGTCTATATTCTACAAGTGCTCATTTACAAAAGACTAATTAACCAAATAGGTTTAAAAGCAAATTGTATTTTTCTCCAAAGAAAACACAAACTATTAGAAAATTAAGTATTAACCATCTACCAAAGAGTTACAATAATCCTGTTATGAAGGATCATTTACTAAATATATAAATAAACATAACTCGGCTACATTAGAGTCAGAAGTCATGAACTGGCATTCAGAATTTTAAGATACTGTTTCTTTGATGAAGTTAGGCATTTTCTTTTCTAGAGTAGTAAGTAGAAAATATATCAGAAATCTCAGACAGGATGCAGAAAAATGTACATTTCAAAAATTAGGCAATAACTACTGAGGTTATAAGCATCAGATCAACTCTATCCCCATGTCTATTTTTAAATACTTCAAAAACATAAAAACATACTCTAGCCTAGTCTTGAAAGAAAAATAAAATACAGTTTTAAAAAAACCTGCAAAATGGTATTTATTTACATTCAAATATGAATTACCTATATACACAGATTTAAGAGGCACAATCTGTTCTGTACAACAATTATAATGTTCACTACATGTTACACACAGTAATACCTGTGGGTAAGTTAGTGGTTTGAGTGAAAACAGTACCAACACATTGCTCACACAAAATAAATTACTTATTCACATATTCTAATCACTTAGTACATTAAAAGTTACATACTTCAAAAAACACTAGCCAAGTGTACAACAAAAGTTAATTTTATGAAAAATGATTTGTTATTCATAACCCCTTTAAGAATGCATTACCTTTTAAATAAACTACAGTGACATCAATACTACATATATATAGCTCCTAAAACATGACAGAAGACATAAATTCCTTTTGTTAAAGGTATAACTGTTTCAGAGAATATGCTAAGCTATTGTCCCCAAATTCCAACACTGCCACTCTGTTTTACAGACACAAGTTATTTAAACTCCAATTCTAGTACGACATTAGCTGCCCTTTGGAAATTGTTTCCTTTTAAAAGTGTTAACAGATTGCCTTGTCACATATCTGAGAAATTCAAGTTTTTCGTTTTTAAATCTTAAAATGCTTTATGTTAAAGCTGATACTCTATCTGGGTTCTTTTAGAAAAATTCAACATTTTTCTCTCAAAGACTTTCACAAATATATTATAAAATCAAAAAGAATTTTAAATAAAGTCCAAGAGAATACTTGATTATTTTCATACTGCACTAAAGGATTCATCTTTGGCATTTCTCCATTATTTCTAAAAACAATATTCTATATTTTCCAATTTTTCTACTACACACATTTTTCTGTACACAAAAGTATTTGATTGAAGTTTATGTGTTAACAACAATTTCACTAAGAAGTATTTTTCTTTTTAGAAAAGTTTTAACATCATTTACCTTTTTAAAAAGCTGAAATGTTTTGAAATAAATTTGTTAAATTCTTCAGTGACTAGAAACTCAACATTATTTCAAACTCAACACTGGATAAAGTAGATAAACTCTACAGTAACAAAAATTGTAACCAGAATATAACTTTTGAATATTAATATGAAGCCTACATCAGTGAAGGAAAAAAAGAATATGTTACCTTCAAATCATGGCAATTAAACTAATATTTTTTTTCTTGGTCCCTGTGGCTTTTCTTAAAAGAAACAAAACAAAACAAACACAACTGCTATAAATTCTGATTTACAGAAAAATTTTCTACATTGCTTTCCACATTAGAATTATTTTCAGTAGTCACATTTTTTTGCTCTCATCACATCTGGATAAAAACAGAACAACTATTTATAAACAATAATATAAAATACCAGGACTTTATAGGTTGAATTAGGTCATTCAAAACTAAAAATCTCAGTAAAACTGGAGGAAAATCTCAATAAAACTGAGTAACATTTGATAGGTTAAATGAATGCATGCTTCAGTCCCTAGGGATTACTGAAACTATAAACAAAATAAAAACATAAAATATAGTAAAAATTAATTCTATGTACCAATGTTTGCAAAAGTCTTGGATAATAAAATGAGATAGTAATGGTGGCTTTATTATGACAATAGCACATTTTTAAAAATGCAATTAATAATTCCCTACTGTTTTCTAACCACGCAGAACCATGGAAACCCAGAAAATGAGGCATAGAAAATGAAGACATTATAATATAAATTAGATATTTATACTACAACTATAAATTTGAATTACTGTAGCAATTTTAGAAACAAAATAAACTGGTCTATTACATACATTAAAATAATCGAGACCATATATTTTAAGAACATGACACATAATGGCCAAATTTGTGAAAGTAAATGTGTATATGCCAGCTAGTAAGTACTATATATGCAGCTTAATAATACTGCTATCTCCCAGCCCAAGTAAATACTTGACATCAATACTGTCCTTCAAGTACAGACCAAATTAAGTTAAATGATACACAAGTAAAGAAATTACCAAGTCTTACTAATACAATTTAGTAAGAACTGGCTGTCTTACAATTGGCACTATTTAATGTGAAATGCATATGGTTGTCTATTTCCAGAATCCAGAAAGTACAGCTACCTATGCTCCTGTGGTAAGTTTTACCTCAATTCTAACATTTAGAAGTACTTGTTGGAATGAGACCTCTCCAAAATCAAATAGGATCAATTTGGTCTCTTCTAATCCTAAAACAAAATGTGATGTTAAATTTTCCTATATGTAAATGTTAACTTGTAGGTAAATCTGTGAGACACTTTAGAGATTTTCGTTCTTGGAGCAAGTGATCTGTTAAAGGAAAAGACCACAAACCGTCATCATTGCTCCAGAATTCAATTGAAGTTGGTTTTTTGTAAATGCTTATTGGGAATTTCTAAAGCACTGACTTGCAAAGGCCAAGAGCCTCCATCAATCCCTGCCTGGATAGCCACTCCTGTCACCACTGCCAGGTCAGGGTCTACGGATGTGTTGGGATCCTTCCCAAAGAACTCCTGAATGACTTGGCGGATTCGAGGAATACGAGTAGAACCCCCAACTAAAACCACCTCATCAATCTCAGTCTTGTCTAGATGGCCTTCTTTTAATACTTGCTGAATAGGCACGAGGATTTTCTGAAAGAGGTCTTCATTAAGGGTATCAAAGAGCTTCCGGGATATTTCTGCCTCAAATAATACTTGTTGTTTTCCACTTTTCCTTTCAGAAAGGCCAGGTCCAAATGCTCTGCTCACATGATGGCCATCTGCCGGAGTAAGTTTGTCCTTTGGCTGTTCAGTGTCACCATCCTGAGGTTCCTTTCTGTCTTGTTCCTCCACAGTTAGTAATACTGACATCTGGGCAGACTGATGAAGGGTGAGATTTAATTTGACCATTTCCACAGCTTGCCTTAATCTGTGGATTTCCTCTTTCCTAGAGGGGAAGAAGCCATATGTTTGATAGATCTGTTTATATAAGTATTGAAGCAATCTCTGATTGAAGTCCTGTCCTCCAAGTTTATTGTTTCCTAAGTGAGAAAGTAAAAATTACATTAATTTGTACATCCATATGTGTGTGTGTGTGTATACATGTGTGTGTGCATATATATATATATA